CGTTTCGCAATACGGCATTTAGTGTTCTTGACACGAAAAATTTTGAGAATTTTCTTGATTCTTTATAGTTTTTTGCATATCCTGGTCAGAGATTTTTTCTGACTACGTGACTTTAGACATAGGTTTCTGAAATCGTGTAAGTTTCTCATGCTTTATGACCATAATACCGGCTCTTAGGTGTTTCGACGAAAAAAATTTTTGATGATTTTTTGACTTTTTTAATCTTTTTGCATAGCCGGAGTCCGATTTTTGTTCAATAGGCTATTCAATTTTGAATATTTTTCTGATCGTCTAATCCAAGTTCTCGATGCTTTCTGACAAATATCAACACTGCATTTTAGATTGTTTTACGACAAAAAATATTTTGTCAACTTTTCCTTTGATTATTAAATTTTTTGCATACGGGCCGAGTTTTTGTGAAGGACTAATTCATCGAGAAATAGAGTTTCTGAACTGTCCCAATTCTCAGATAGACTATCTGGACAACTACGGATTATTACTGTTCTTTAGCGAAAAAATTTTGCTATAATTTTCTTATTTATTTATATTTTTTGCATAACGGAGTCCGAGATTTTTGCTAGAATGACTAAGACTCTTTTTGAAAATGTTTTCTAAACTTTCTACAAAGTTCTCAGAAGATGGGTTTTTGACAAAAGCTACGGCATTTTAGATTTTGAAACGAAAAAGATTCTTGATATTTTTCTGTTTTAGTTTTGCATTAGCCGAGTCCGAATTTGTATTTGACTAGTTCATTTGGAAATCTTTCTTAACTCTCTAAAGTTCTCAGATGGTTTTGCAAACTACCGCACTTTTGTTTTTTTTGAAAAAAATTTATTGAAGAACTTTCTTGATTTCTTTTAGTTTTTCTTCATATTCCGGGTCAGAGTTTTTGTCTATGCTATTTCATTTTGAAGAAATAGGTTTAACTCGTCCTAAAGTTTCAAGATGGCTGTCTGACAAAATCGCTTTTAGATTGATTTTGACGAAAACAATTTTTGTATTTCCTTTACCTTTTTTTATTTTTTTTGCATATCCGATCAGGATTTTGTCAAATGATAAGTCAATTTTGAAATAGGTTTCTGAAACTCGTGTATAAAGAGTTTCTCAATGGCTTTCTAGACAAAAACTACGCATCTTGTTGTTCGACACGAAAAGTTTTGATGAAATCTTGACTTTTAATCTTTAGCAGAGCCGATTTTTGTCGAAATAGACTAGTTCATTTTTGAATAGTTTCTGACTCGTCTAAAGTTCTCAATGGCGTTTTCTTGCAAAGTACTCATTTTGAATTGTTATTGAACGAAAATTTGAGATTTCTTATTCTTTTAGTTTTTTTGGCATATCCAGGTAGATTTTGTCAAATTAGATTAGTTTATTTTGGAATAGTTTTGAAACTCGATGTAAAAGTTTCAATACGTTTCTGGACAAAAACTACGTATTTATGTGGGTTGACAAAGTTTTTGATTATATTTTTGACTTTTCAACTTTTCAGCCGGAGTCCAGGATTTTTGTCAAACGACTAGTTCAATTTTGACTATAGGTTCTAACTCGTCTACAATCTCAAGTGGCGTTTTCTGACACACTACCGCTTTTAATTGTTTGAAAGAAAAATTTTTTGATGAATTTTTTGATTACTTTAAATTTTTGCATCGCCGAAGTCCGCAAGATTTTCTGTTAATAGGACTAATTCAGATTTTCAAGAAATATTTCTGAAACTCGTCAAATTCATATCGTTTTGACAAAACTACCGTTAATTATAATGTTTGACGCGAAAAAAATTTGATGAATTTCATATTTATTTAATTTTTTTCTCAAAGACGGAGTCCGAAATTTTTGTAATAGGACAGTTCATATGTGGAGCAATAGTGGTTTACTGAAATTGTCAACTTCCCTCACATGCGTTTCTTACATACCCTTCCTAGATTGTTATTGACGAAATTTTTTGAAGAATTTTCTTACTTTTTTTATTTTTTCTGATAAGCCGAGCCGACGTTTTTGTGAAATATGATAAGTTCATTTTTAGAAAGTTTCTGAACTGCTAATTCTCAGGATGGCTTTTCTGAAAAACATACGCATTTTAGTTTTTTTTTTTAAGAAAAATTTTTAAGAGAACTTTCTTGATCTTTTAGTTTTTTGTGTATCGCGTCATTTTTTCATGATAAGTTACTTTGAAATAGGTCTCTCGGTAAATTCTCGATGGCGTTTTCTGAAAAAATACGCATCTTAGGTGTTCGAGAAAGTTTTTGATGATCATTTTTGTCTTTTTATCTTTTTGCATAGCCGGAGTCCGAGATTTTTGTCAAATAGGACTAAGTTCAATTTTCAGAAATAGGTTTCTGAAACTCGTCTAAAAGTTCTCAGATGGCGTTTCTGACAAAAACTACGGCATTTTAGATTGTTTCGAAAGAAAAAAAATTTTGATGAATTTTCTTGATTATTTAAATTTTTTTGCATAGCCGGAGTCCGAGATTTTTGTGAAATAGGACTAAATTCATTTTCGAGAAATAGGTTTCTGAAACTCGTCCAAAAGTTCTCAGATAGCGTTTCTGACAAAAACTACGGTAATTTATATTGTTTCGAGCGAAAAAAATTTTGATGAATTTTCTTATTTTATTTTATATTTTTTGCATAGACGGAGTCCGAGATTTTTGTAAAATAGGACTAAGTTCTTTTTCGAGAAATAGGTTTCTGAAACTCGTCTAAAAGTTCTAAGATGGCATTTCTGACAAAAACTACGGCATTTTAGGTTGTTTCGAATGAAAAAAATTTTTGATGAATTTTCTTGATTTTTTTTATTTTTTTGCATAGACGGAGTCCGAGATTTTTGTGAAATAGGCTTAAGTTCATTTTTGAGAAATAGGTTTCTGAAACTTGTCCAAAAGTTCTCAGATGGTGTTTCTGACAAAAACTACGGCATTTTAGGTTGTTTTGAGCGAAAAAAAGTTTTGATGAATTGTCTTAATTTTTTCAATTTTTTTGCATAACCGGAGTCCCAGATTTTTGTGAAATAGGATTAAGTTCATTTTTGAGAAATAGGTCTCTGAAACTTGTCCAAAAGTTCTCAAATGGTGTTTCTGACAAAAACTACGGCATTTTAGGTTGTTTCGAACGAAAAAAATTTTTGATGAATTTTTTTAATTTTTTTTTTTTTTGCATAGACGGAGTCCGAGATTTTTGTGAAATAGGACTCAGTTCTTTTTTGAGAAATAGGTTTCTGAAACTCGTTTAAAAGTTCTCAGATGGTGTTTCTGACAAAAACTACGTCATTTTAGGTTATTTCGAGCGAAAAAAAATTTTGATGAATTTTCTTGATTTTTTTAATTTTTTGCATAGCCGGGGTCAGAGATTTTTGTGAAATAGGATTAAGTTCATTTTTGAGAAATAGGTCTCTGAAACTTGTCCAAAAGTTCTCAGATGGTGTTTCTGACAAAAACTACGGCATTCTAGGTTATTTCGAGCGAAAAAAAATTTTGATGAATTTTCTTGATTTTTTTAATTTTTTGCATAGCCGGGGTCAGAGATTTTCGTGAAAAATGACTAAGTTAATTTTTAAAAGAAGGTTTCTGAAACTTGTCGCAAAGTTCTGAGATGGTGCTGTTGACGAAAAGTACGGCATATTAGGACTTTTGGAGCGAAAAAATATTTTTAGGAATTTTGATGATTTTTTGAGTTTTTTTGTATATCCGGGGTTAGAGATTTTTGTGAAACAGAATTAAAACTATAGCATTTATTAACAAGTTTACAAGTCAAACAATCATTGTTTTTATCAATTATAATGTTGCAAATGATGCTGAAATCTCATTTAATGATGTAATAGAATTCTTGAAATGATTCATTTTATTTTCAAAAACTTTTAAAGTTATTTAACTAAAGTATGTCACTAAGCTCCTTCTAGTTAAAGAGAAAAAATTTCTTTTGTAGTACATCTTGTTATTCTGCTTAACGTGCTTTAAACTGATAGATGATGTATGTAGTCTGCAGCTAGGAGCCTTTTTTCAGTTGCTTTCCTAAGGGCCAATAAATTTATTGAATGCTGAATGAAAATTTGCACAATTAGGTGTTATGTTTCGGATCATAGGTTCTCTTTTTTCTAGAGCTGACCCCCTGTCCAACGTGGAATTGCAATTTGATACAAGGGAATCTGCTATTGCCTATGCTGAAACTCAAGGTAGGGCACTGTACAAGTTAAGTTAGATAAAGTGTTCTTTATTGTAGACGTATTGAAATCATATTTACCAGAACTCTTTAAAAAGTCATATTTAAATGGTTTCAAGAGATATAAATTTAGTATGAAAACAAAGTAATATATAAGAAAGGTTACAGAATAGATTTCAGTATAAAACTTTTACTGGTTTTTTGTAGTTGTGAGTTCTCTTTAATTGTTGATTAGTGAATAATTTTTTGAAATTTAGTTCCTCCCAAGGTTGGAAATATAAAGTAGATGAGCCAAAGAGGACATCTATCAAACCAAAGAGCTATGGTGCCAATTTTTCATGGAACAAGCGCACCCGAAGCTCTACAAAATAGAATGTTTAGAAGACTATGTGAAATAATTAACTCATTTGTTTGATGTTTGTTTGGTAATAAAATTTCATTGTATATCGATCCATAAGCTGTGTGTTCATGATAAATTGTCTTGAAAGTGATTGGAGACCTATCCATGCTCTGTTTTCTGTTTTATTGGATCATAAACCTGGTAACATAATTGAGAAAATGTTCTCCTGCGTGAATCTCATGTTGAAGAACTTCAATCGGGTATGGAGAATGAAGTTTGAAACCATTTGAGACCTAATCATAAAAAGAGGCTTGATACGACTGTCTGTTCACTTGAATATACTTTATCTACCATTTCTCGCGTTTCTGTGCTGTTTTCACAAAACAAGATGAATTGCTGCAGGTTTTCAACTGCTATGTCTAGTTAAATATGACCTGCGAATGTTAGCAGTTCATCCTCAATTTCACTGTAATCTCGTCTCTCTCTACAGAAAATTCTCGTAATATATCTCCAAATATATTGGCATCAGATTTACCTGCATTCACTCTTCCTCGCCAAGGCTCACTGGCTTTCCCGTAATTCTAAAATCGCTCTTAGCAAGGAAACTTCTAAAATCTTCCCCTAAAAGAAGGGATCTGCTCTTGCAAAACGCCCTACTTACTGACTTTTGTCAAACGCA